AGGATTTTGGTCAGGAGCAGTGTCGAAAGCGACCTTCTACCTTACGGTCATACTGTATTTGTCATTTGTTATTTTTTTATTATGAAACCTGTCCAAGAAAACTAACAATTAAAAATTTGGCTGTGGCTCAGTAATGGTGTGGGGTGGTAATTCTTTGCCCTTGTGCTCGCCACAGGTAGCATGACTACTATTAGCTACTGAGATCCTCAAACCCCTTGTGAGACCTTGTGTGGATGGCCCTGAGTTCCTCCTAATGCAAGGCAATGCTAGACCTCATGTGGCTGCAGTATGTCAGCATTTCCTGCAAGATGAATGAATTGAGGCTATGGACTGGCCTGTCCCTTCCTCAGACCTGAATCCGATTAAGTATATCTGGGAAATCATGTCTCGGTACATCCGCCATGGTTGGCAGATGCTTTAGTCCATGTCAAGGAGGAGATCCCTTTAGAGACCATCTGCCACCTCATCAGGAGCATGACAGGCATTGTAGGAAGGTCATACAGGCTTTTGGAAATATTTGAGAAATTTGAGAAATATTATGACTCGTTAATCCAATGAACTAAGTCACATAAGCCTGGATAATAAATAATATATCTTTGAACACAGAATGAGTAAGTGTTTTCATAAAAAAAAAAACCAGACTTTTTTTAACCACAATGGCACTGGGTCGATACAAACTAAATTTTCTTATGTAAAAGGGAGACTTTTTGAGTTGTTAAATGTCATTTTCTGCCTTGGCTCTGGTTTTGGAGATCGAGCAATCATGCAGAAGTCAGTGACAGGAAATTCTTGTTGGTTTCATAAGTTGTAATAAAGATTTATAATTTTATCCAAGTTCCAGTCCTTATGATATAGACTTATGACATAATCTTATATTTTTTGTCTATATGATTTGCTCAATTTTAATTATTCAGTCTGATGTTCTAATCAATTACTCAGTTATGTGGTGGCTGTTTTACCAAATATTCTTCTGCTCTTACTCCTTATTTACACTATGTACTGTGTCTCAACCATTATCTGGCCACGGCAGATGACCGCTCACACTGAGCCTGGTTCTGCTGGAGGTTTCTTTTTGTTGAAAGGGAGTTTTTCCTCTCCACTGTCGCTAAAAGCATGCTTAGTGTGAGGGAATGCATTCAAGTCAAAGAGTCGATGCAATCAACTGGTTTTCCTTAGATAGAAATCTTTGAATGAATTTGACTGTATGATCCGGTGAACTGTAAAGTGCCTTGAGATGACGTGTTGTGAATTGGTGCTATATAAATAAACTGAATTTAATCTGTTGCAAACTGTGCTGTGTGCACACACACATGCCTTGCTATATTTTTTGTCATAAATAGTTTAAATTATTGAATGAAAGTCTGGGCAGTGGGGACAAACAAATAAATATAATAAATAAATATCCCTGCATTTCTTCAAGGTTGGTTAAAGCTGTTTGCTATGAGGCCTGGAGTGGTTGGAATCAGAGGGGTGAAGAGTGGGTTGTACCTGTGTATGACTGAGCATGGGCTGGCATATGGAGCGGTATGTAGCCTACCACACCATTAACAGTAAAACAGAAACTCTAATTAAAATTAACATAAATTAATCCAAATCACATATTTTTTTTGTCTTTTTGTTGTTGTCTAGGAGAAGTTTACAGACAACTGTCTGTTCAAGGAAAGCTTAGAAGAGAATCATTACACAACCTACTCCTCTTTGTCTACCCCAGGCAACTACTTGGCTATTTCCCACAGAGGACAGCTCAGGAGGGGCAACAGTGTGGGCCGCAATCAGTCATGTGCTCATTTCTTACCCAGGATTATATGATGCTAGTGCATCACATTTCCAAATCTCTTGTAGCTACTCATAACCAAATGGATAGTTGTCATTAAAATCAATCTTTAAGTTGTGGGAAAATATATATATATCAAAAGCAGGACATAAAGCAACATCGTGCTACAGGTACAATTAAGTTTCTTCAGGACTTCCCTATGTAAAGTCCACTATGATGAATCCTCAGTAATGTGAGTATCAACCTTTGTAACAGAAAGGAAACAAAAAAGCAAATATGAAGGTAATGTATTGTAATTCAGGATAAACTGTTTTTTTTGTTTGTTTTAAGGAAGAGACCCTCTCAATAAGGCTGAACCTGTACTCTGCATGAAAACCTATAGTTTATTGTTTGAACTGTAATGATGTGTTCACATCAAATGCGATCTGAGCATCAAAAATGGTTAAATGCCAAAATGTGGACACCTGGTCTAACGGTGGTCAAGATGTTTTGATAATCTTTGCTTATCTGCTCTATTCTGTAGCTACAAGCTTGAGAGCAGCTTGGGTTTAGTTACTTTGATGAGTTGGAAAAATAGTTTGAACATGTTTTTAAGAAACATCAAAACATTATCTGTGCAGTCAATTCATCAGAATTATGATCCTGCTAAAATATGCAGTTCTTGTTCAGAGTGACAGACCTCCAGCATACTGGCGGCTGGCAGTGCTGGGAATCCCAACTGGGATTTCTCTGCAGGGGGATTTCACGCTGTTGTCCATATCAGCTGGAAGTGAATATAAAGAGTTTTTAAGGTTTCTGGTTAAAAAAAAGTGCATGTACTAGAATTTACCATAGAATATTTTCATTAACAGGCTTTGACATTTATTTTTTTATCCTTTGGAGTTTAAACCCTGTTGATTGATTTATTTTTCATGTGCAGCCAGCTTTGCAGAATGATAACAGCTTGGATGTAGGGTCTGTCTCCCCAAAAAAACTCTTGGATCAACTTTTCTGATTAGTTGACGCTCCTTATGTTGTTTTTACTTATTTATTTATTTATTAAACGAGTCTTGTCTGTTTGTCCAAAAGGTAGAGATGTTTTTTTATATACTAAATGGTAAATAAGATGTCGTTCTTTTATGCTGAATACTTGGTACTAATTCATGAGACAACATGTATACATTTTTGTATTAATTGCATTACATTGTAGTGTTAATAAATATCCCTGTATTTATATTTTTAGATCAAGTTTTCATTGATTAAAAAGGAGAGGTTTATTTTTCTGAAAGACATGAACGTTCATAGATTAAACCTAAGATTTACTTTCAATTAGCTGACATCCTCAGTGTGTAGCACTTAGGTTATGTAGAACTAGTTTGCAGCTTTTCTTAATTTGTTAGGGTGAATAGTTCTACAATGTCTGGGTTGGCTTTTTGGACAATCAGCTGTGTTTCCCATTTTATGCATGGTTTTTTGCATACCATGAACAGGAGCTGGTGCTAATTTATGTCAGCATATCCTTAGTGGACGATAATAGTAGTAGTAATAATACACTAATACTAATTAGGAGTCAAGACAGAGGGGCAGGACAAAGAGCACTAATCTCAAGGGCCTATTGAGTGATAGCATATTCTAAAAAAGCAAGTAAGTTTTGCCCTTACACGGATTTGAATGGCAAATGGCCTGTACATATATAGCACAGGAGACTTGATCAAAACTCTTCTTTATTTTACTGTATGATAAAGTATGATAAACTTTATCATACTGCATTCAGTCATTCACCCATTGACTCTCACTCTGATGGTGGTAAGCTACATTGTTGCCACAGATGCTGCTATACGCAGCCCTACGCAAATTGGTCTAACGGCCAAGGGAAGTTCATTTCACTACCGAGGGGCTGCGAAAGAAAAAGCATGTTCCCCTCTCAGCTTTTGTTTTGCCTTTGGCACCCAGCGTAACAACTAGTCAGCTGATCTAAGGGAGCAAGAAGGTGTGTAGGGATTAAACAGCTCAGACAGGTAGGGTGGGGCAAGAAAATTAAGAGCTTTAAAACAAAAAAAAATAGTATTTTTAAAAGAATCCTGAAGTGTACTGGCAGCCAATGTAATGAGGCTAAAATAGGGGAAATATAATCAAATTTGGTGGGACCTGTTAAAAGATGTGTAGCAGCATTCTGTACCCTCTGAAGCTGGGTAATGACATACTGATACCCTTATAAAGTCCAATACAGTAATCCAGCTGAGTGGTTAGAAAGGCATGTACCGCTGTTTTAAAATGCTGACATGTAAGGATAGGTTTAACCTTTGGTAGCTGCCTCAAGTGGAAGAAGCTGGATTTTAAAGCTCTAATGTGAGATTCAAACTTCAGACTAGCTTACATTTTAACCATAAAATTGGTAATAATAGGCCTGACATACTAGGCTAAAGATCTGATATCCATCAGGAAGTCTTCACTGGAACAACCAAAAATCACCACCTCTGTTTTTCTGCATGTGGAATGGATTCTCTAAATTGTCCTTAGGTGTGTGCATGGTAATGAGCCTTTGTGAGTCTCTGTGTTGCCCTGAGACAGAATGGCGACCTGTCCAGGGTTTACTCCGCCTCTCGCTCATAGACTGCTGGAGATTGGCACCGGCAAGAGCACGACCCTGACGGGACTAAGTTGGAGAAGATGGATGGACAGATGAATAGATAGTTCGGCTTAAATAATTGTTGTGAGCAGAAGTTATTTAACTAAAGTTTTACTTCAAATCATGGCACCAGTGTTGATGACCATTTAAAGCAGCAGAAAGAGAATTAGGATGCTAACTGATGTTTTTGAGAAAAAAACTGGTGTTTATTCCCAGATTATCATCAACACATTTGGTCTGCTTGACATTAACGAGAGTTCGTTTACCACTTAGTTTGGACCTTTAGTGCAAGTGTAGATAAAAAACAGGCCTGAAACCCACTTTTTATTGTGGTTTCAGTCCACTTCCAAAGAGACCTAGTCTGGATGAGCAAACAAGCTAATTCGATATGAGAACATATATATTACCTGCAGCATTACAACTGCAGCTGAACTTGCAAAAACTAGCAGGACATTTGAGTTGTTGCCAATAAGTTCCCTCCCTAGATCCCTAGAACATGACAATGTGTAATGCTATCCAACCAAAGGGACTGGTTCTGCAACCTGATATGCACACTGAGAACTGTGCCTCTCAGGTGTCTCTTTGTTAATGAGACATTGCAGGAGGGTATAACAAGACTGAGAGCCGGGGAAATAAAAAAACAAAACCAGGAGGAGATTAAACTTCGAAAGGAAATTGTGGTTGGACTTAAATATTATCAGAAGATAAGAAGTTACACTTGGACAATGGCATAATGAGCAATGCAACAACAGGTATGTTACGTTTTTAAGCTTCAATTGCACATAACCACGCCAATTGCCAATCACGTTTTTTTTTTATCTAGATGTTTTCTCAGATCTAATTTTCTATCCACTTTTACCCTTTCATTGACTCACTGACCTATGTGTTCTCTTCACAGATATTGCTGTCAATGACGATAATCCATCAACTCTTAAAACAGTAAGGGAAATGCTTGTTAAAACATTGCACTAATTAAGAATTCTATCCTAGAAGAATGAACATGAAAAAGTTAGAACAAAATGATGATGAGGATGAGTAAGGCTTCACAATAGTTTCACAAAATGGATTACTGTATTGCACTTTATAAGGGGGCTTTTTAATTGACAAACTGGCCAATTTATTAGGGAAACCTAATAAGCATGAAAAAATTTATAAACCCATCACATGGTGCAAGTCAATACCATTAGGAACGAGAAATTGTAAATACAATTTAATTAATTTCAAAGCAATGATTAAAGTCTCTTATGTGTAGACAGAATAGTCAGTAATAGGTAAATATGCATCAGAAGAAGTTGACGTGTTTACAGCTGCTTTTTGTATCTCCGCTTCTGTCTCCTTGAACCCCAGTCAGCCTGGCAGATGGCCGCTCACACTGAGCCTGGTTCTACTGGAGGTTTCTTCCTGTTAAAAGGGAGTTTTTCCTCTCCACTGTCACTACAAGTATGCTTAGTGTGAAGGATTGCATTTGAGTAAATAAGTCGATGCAATCAATTGGTTTTCCTTAGAAAATATTTAATCAATTTGGATGAGAACTAGCAGGGTAATTGTAGATGATATAACAGAACCACACCTCAGATAACATGATACAACCAGGCTAGGCAGAATACTCCCAAAACTTGAAGCAGATTAGCTTCAGCATCACCGCCATAATTTTTTTTTTTTTTTTTACTTTTTATTGTGAGTCTCAACTAAAAATAATTCAAAAACTTTCTGCCTGAGTATTGTCACTGACCATGATGTTTACAATACAAATTCAGTTTAATTATACTTTATTGATCTCCGAAGGGAAATTTTATTATCTTTGCTGGTAACTCTCTGCAAATGGCACAGTTCACATTCGTTTTCCTTGATCAAGACACTGTATTCCAACAGCCTACAGTCACCAGATTTCAAATCAAAAAGGGGTATTTTAATTGTGATATCACATTAGATAGATAGGGAAGATCAATCAAATGTATAGCAACATCTTATACTGTCCTGTCAGAATTCATAATTCTGATACCTTGTGTTAATCTATTCCACAAATGGGTCCACTAGTAAGTTGCAATTGTTAAAGGGCTGCTGAGGATAGGCACAAACAGTTAAGTTCTTCTATCAGTACTTTCCCACCCACTCTGTGTACATTGTTTAGAATTCACACATATTTTTGTAAATGCTAGAGTGTACATGTGGAATAGTGCAACCAAATATTTTGGACTAGTGCCAGGAATCATGACTGGTTGTACATTTTTCCCAAATGTTACCTTGTCTTGTAGTCCCTTGATGAGTCAAGATCAATCCTTATGTGTAAATGCCTTGATAGTTGTTATATACTGTAAACAGGAATTTCTGCCAATAACAAAAAGAGAACAAATTGTGGCCCATCAGCTGTTGTTATCACATCACAAAACTTTATTTTTAATGCATGCTCTTCATCCCCTTGTCTTCCTGACTTTGCATGAGGGATCTGAAAAAAAAAAAAAAAAACTGTAATCTTGATCTGTAAAAGGCTATAATTTTTCTTTTTTGGATTAACTGTATATTGACAAGGTGAATGTGGAAAGTAATTGTTTTCTTTCTGTGACTTTCATTTAGGAGCTGAAGACGAGGACACCTGATGGTGAAAACAGCTCTAACATTGAGGTGGTTTCAGTTACGGAGGAAGATCTCTCCACTGTGGATACCCCCGACACTCTTTTTGCTAGTCAAGATCCCAGCCTAAAAGCTGACTTTCACACAGAGAAAGATCCAGCAAAACCTACAGATCCTCAACCTCCAGCTGCACCTAGTCCAACTATGCCAGTCACTAAAGTTCAGCCATTTATTAACGGTAAGACATATTGGAGTTTTTTTCATCTTGGCACACTTTCTTAGTAAGATGACAAAGAACCCATCTAACTTCTACTGTCAAACATCCATATGTACAGACAGGACATTTATGCCTGTTGTTTTGAGTTCACAACATCAGAGTACTGAAATTCTTAAACCATGTTATATGCTGCTGTATAATATTCAGGGACATAAGACATTCATAAGACAGAAAACTTTCTGCTATGGGAGGAATATTTTTGCTAAGTGACATAAGTGATAGTTGTAACTTGTATAGTAGAAATTGTACAGTGCTAAACATTTCCTATCTTTACAATCATTAATAAAAGTAACATTATTTAAGTGTACTAGTATATGTGACTTATTGTGTGTCTGCATCAGTGAAAAACAGCTGAAAGTGATATAGGGCTAACAACAAAGAGACAAATAGGAATCATAAATATACAATTTTTAACTGTGAATACATACAGAAGTTTAATTATTGGCTACATGTTTTGATCTTCTTAAGGGGGCAGGTGGTTTGGACTGACGGAGCACTGCGCTTGAATAATGGTGGATTACATTCTCTTTCTACATTTGAACTTCAGTCCTGCAATCTATATACATGGTTCATTTCCTCTCACATTCCTGCCTTTCTGTTTTCCTCCAGCTTTAATCTACACCAAGATAGTTGTGGATAAAACCAAATTAGCAGAGGCTGTTAGAAAAAAGAGGGGTAAGGGCAACTACTGAACCCTTATCACACTATATGTAAAGAAAAAAAATGTCATAAGGTTATACAAATACAAGGGAACTTTATTCAGTAAATAGAGTAAATAAAGCACATTCATTCGTATCCATCATTCTAGAATTGCACTGCTTAAGTTGGCTGCACGTTGCAGTTATTATTGTCATTATAATAATTATTGTTGCCATGGCGACGCTCCAAAGCAGCAGCCAATTTCGATAAGTTCACATAATATGCAGCTAAATACGATACAAACTAGACATCTAACCCGTATCTATGATCGCCAATTGAGGACGTCAGCATAAAAAAGAACATCACCACCCAGGCCAACCAACCGCCCTGGATAAATGAAGAGGTTCGGAAATCACTAAAAGCACGGAACTCAGCTTTCATGTCTGTTGATAAGGAGGCACTAAGAACAGCGCGTGCCAACTTAAACCATGCCATCAGATCAGCGAAGCACAACCACAGCCAGAAGATCCAAGATCATTTCCATGATGACAGCAACACCAGGAGGATGTGGAAAGGCATTCGGATGACCACGGACTACAACACACCCTCCCCCCCGGTAGATGCAGCAAATGCTGACTTCCTAAATGAACCGAACAACTTCTTTGGAAGGTTTGAGGCACTAAACAGCACTCCAGCAGTGAAAGCTGTTCCACACCAGGGGGAGGAGGCACTAAACCTGGACGTAACTGAAGTGAGGAAAACTCTGAGAAGAGTCAATCCGAGGAAGGCCCCAGGACCTGATAACATACCTGGGCGGGTGTATAAGGAGTGTGCAGATCAGTTGGCTGGTGTCCTCACAGACATCTTTAACACCTCGCTGGACCAATCAATAGTGCCAGCATGCTTCAAGTCTTCCACCATTATTCTGATCCCAAAGAAGCCTCAGGTCACCTCATTCAATGATTACCGGCCTGTTGCACTGACTCCATCATGATGAAGTGCTTCGAAAGGCTGGTTAAAGAACACATCATCTCCAATCTGCCGCCAACATTAGACAGGTTTCAGTTTGCCTACCAACGAAACCGCTCCACTGAGGACGCCATCTTTGCTGCTCTCCACCTGAGCTTTGCACATCTGTAGGAGAAGAACATCCATGTGCGGATGTTGTTCCTGGACTTCAGTTCCGCTTTCAACACCATCATCCCACAGCATCTGATGGAAAACTGAAACACCTGGGATTCAATACACCCCTCCTCAATTGGTTGCTAGACTTTCTCACCAACAGACCTCAGTCAGTCCGGGTTGGACAGAACACCTGATATCATCAGTCTAAGCACAGGCTCCCCTCAGGGCTGCGTTCTTAGCCCCGTGCTGTTAACCCTGATGACACATGACTGCGTCCCCAGGTTCACCACCAATCAGATCGTGAAGTTTGCAGACGACACCACGGTGGTGGGCCTCATCAGAGACAACAAAGACCTGGAGAAAGCTTTGTCGTCACGCCCTCAAAACCCCTTCTGCTTTGCATCCAGACATTCAAAACACATCTCTGCGTTGTGATTGGCCCGCCAGATTTAGGACCTGGGGCATTGATCGAGGCTAGACCAAACTCGCAGGTAAAAATGATTTTGGCCGCTGGGGGGTGGGGCTAGTTTACTAGGCTAGCGTTTGCCAATTAGATTATATTAGATTACATGAGCTTTATTGACCTATTTGAATCCATAGCCAAAATTCTACCGGCCACCCTATTTTCACGGACCTCAAAGGATACAATCCAGACAGACAGGGTCCTTGGAGGACACAGCCTCAGAAATAATGAACACTCTTAATCTGATCTGTCCCGACAATCCTAAAGTCTGAAAAGGTTAATTTAATCAAAGAAATATGTCTTGCAAAATCATTAAACATGCAGAATAAAGATCTATCTTATATACTGGCCTTTTTTATTGAAAGTAGTCTAATTTTCTCATTGAATTTATGTTGATATCTCCTCATCTTGTGGGTTTTGTCACATTACACCCCTTGTTTGAATGTCTGGCTTTAGGTATGATAAATTATATTTTCATGGGAAAATGCAGGTCTTCAGCTGTCTTAGTGCAACATTTTTTAAATGCAGTTGTTCTTTATGTTTTAACAGACAATGACTTGAATAAGGGATGGAAGAACAGAATGGTTACCCATAAACTTGAGCTGCTCATTGCTTCAGGTGTCATCTTGATGGTGTTTCTTGCCCTCAGCATTGGCCTTGGAGGTGAGGACTGCAGCTTTTGTTATCTCTGTGCATATGACAATGACTCCCAGCCACAAAATACTGACATATAGTTGGTAAACAAAAGGTTGGTTTTTTTATTTTAATCCAGTGATAGATCAATATGAAATATTTTAGCACACATCAGGTGTGTTCAGATTATTTAAAAGTTATAATAGCAATACCTTAAATTAATAGGATGCATTTTTCTTTAAGGGGTGAATAACTTGGTTAAATGAGACACATAATGAGTTTGTTTTAGCCATTGATATCCTAAAGACAAGACATAGAAATGAGAAACTACTGTTATTCTTATTATTTCTCATTGGTCAGCACAAGGTCCAAAGTATAAAAAAATTAATGTAGGTAGGTCAACGTGCATTTTGAGCAAAGCAAACAGAATCTAAAGTTCTCAGGGCATGCAAGAATTTTAATTATTTAATTAATAATTTGGGTCATATTCTTTTTTACGAGAACATTAGTTCCTTTGCTTGTGGATCTGAGTTTGTTTGTTCTGATGGTGGTGTTCAATTCTGTAACACTGGAAGGATTTTACTGAAATTTTTTCCTTGTTGGATACTTGTTATGATGCGTAACCACCGCAACAATAGCAAGTTGACTAATATCTATAAAGCTGGAATAATACATCAACTACTTTCACAAGTAAAAAAAAAATGTTAGAACTGTAAATTTAAAGTCATATGCTTATATTACTGTTTTTATTTATTTATTTATTTATTTTAACCATTTTTCAAGGCTTCACTTTTAAAAAAGAAGAAATTGTTCAGAGAGCTGTTCCAAACGAAATTTCTTTTTGTTTTACACTTGTGCAAACAAAATGACAAATACAATCTGTGTAAGTCTAAGTAACAGTTGAGTTGAAAAGAAGGCGCCGGGGATACAGAGTGAGAGAGCAAGGAGATGAGAGAGGAACAAAAAATTTAAGCTCTCTTTCCATCAATCATCATGGGCAATGTGATATATTTCTTCTTCTACTTTTACTCCAGTACCATTTACATCAAGTACTTGTGCATTTAACTCCCCTACACACACTAATTCTTTTATTACACATTAAATTCACATCATATTTTCATTTATTTGTTTAGTTTTGTTTGAGAGTTTGAAAGTAATCAACTGGTAGATGGGGATTGGTCCACTGAACAACTGCGAAGCAAGCAGTAACGTTGGACCCGCCTTCCGCAAGAAGAGTGAGATTATCCTTACTGAGCCTCATTTCAGAACAAAACGCATCTAAAATGGATTCCAGCACGGAGAGTCCGCCAAAAGAATTGTCCAACTTTGGCTTTATTTAAAATAATTTTTCACTTTAATTGTCTCATAAAATTACTCCCGGAGATGCCGGTACCATCTTTGTCTCCCCTAAAAACACAAGCGTCTAGCTTTCCAAAACTCAGTCACAAATCTAAAAAAACATATCGAGGTAAGTTGCTAAATGCTACAGACAGATGGAAGTCTTGTAAGAGCCCATGAACTGAATACATTCTTCTATAGGTCCAGCCTAGGCACAAGCTCAGCTTTCCTGTCTCTTGCCCATAGTCACATGGACATTTTACCCCTTTGTGCCATTGACATCAGAAGATGGTATTGCTCCCTCCATAGAGGTCAAGTGAGGAGTAAACTGGAGACACTGAATCATAATAATCCACCAGGTCCTTATGGTGTCAGCCCCAGAGTCATGAAGGCCTGCGCAGAGCAATTGTATGTGTCAAGGCTCAGAACAGAGGACCCAGTATTCAAGGCAGACAGACAGCAAGATATTTCAAAAGATATTTATTTAACGACGGATAACGACAGATCTGTAGTGAACATTTGGCAGCAATGCTGTTGAAATCCACCTCTACCACATTAATCTGGAAAAGAATGTGTGAGTCACTAACCTGGTCTTAAAGTTTGTCATGATTTTATCTAAAGCTCGGACCCACATGCAGTGAAGCCAAACAGAGAGACACAGAGTAAAAGTTTGAACGGGTTTTATTAAAGAGTGTTTTGAGTTCGGTGCAGAGTTCCTCCGAACTCTGCTCGGCTGGGAAACTGGAAGACAAGGGGAAGACAGACTGTTAGATTCAGGCTCAGTGGGGAATTGGAGTTGTTAATCTTCAAGGAGAGGATTTGTTGCCATTCACGATTCCAGAGAAGAAGAGACACTTAGACTTCAGTCTGTGTGTTGGTCTTCCAGAATTTGTTTGATTCGGTGGAGGACGGAACAGGGTTTACCCAGAACTCGGAAGGAGGGGAATGATGCAGCCGCTGGTTGCAACTCAGTTTTCCTGTGGTTTTCCTGTGGTTCATCCCACTTGGGAGAAGGCAGTCAGAAAAGGTCCAGTTTGCAGGAAGGCTTCCTGCCGAAAGGGCAAAGAACAAACAAAGTTGAGACTCAGGGAGAAACAAGCGCTCAGTAAAACTCAATGAGATCTCAGCTTGGCTAGAGGACAAAAACT